ACACTCACAGAGCGGAGGGGACCCGGGACCCCCTCCCCTTTCACACACACACAGAGGGGACCCCCCCTTACACACACACACACAGAAGGGACTCCCCCCTCACACACAGAGGAGGGACCCCCCCGCACACGCACAGCCACACGAGCCCACCCCCTCCGCGCACACACAGGCGACCCCCCCGCTCCCGAGGGCACCCCCGTACCCCCGATGCCCAGCACGCCGCCGTCCCCCACCACGATCCGCTCCCCACCGCCCCGCTCACCTCCTCGGGCGCCGGGGACGCGGGGCTGGGCACGGGGCTGCTCCCCGCCGAGCACGGCCCGCCGCGGGGGCAGGGCTCCGCCGGCTGCCCGCCGGCGCTCATGCCGGTGCCGGTGGCGGTGCCGGTAGCAGTCCCGGTGCCGGTAGCAGTCCCGGTGCGGTGCGGTGCGGTGCCCGCCGCCGGTGGGAGCGAGGCTCGAGCGCCGCCCCGGCCGCAGGGGCGGGACCACCTGGTGGCGGGGAAGGCGGGGGCGGGGCTTCGCGCCGATCGTCCCGGTGCGGGGGGGTGCCGGTGAGCGTCCGCCCCTCCCGGTACCGAACACGGGAGCGCAGCCGGGCTGGACTCSCCCGGACCCGCCGCCGCCACCAACGGCAACGCCGAGGCACCGCCCACCGCCCGCGCGGGGTCGCGGCTCATGGAATGCTGGGGCTCGGGGGGAACACCGCGTTCGAACGGTCCCCGCGCGCCGGAGGCGGGGCGACACCCGCCACACCGGGGAGCTCCGTCCGACCTGGCCCGGAGCGACTCCAGGGATGGGGCACCCGCGGCTGCTCTGACCAGCCTGTGCCACCGCCTCTCCCACACTCCCGGGGAAGAATTTTCATCCTAATGTCCAATGTAAGTGTCCCCTCTTTCAGTTTAAAGTCGTTCCCACTTGTTTTACCCCTATCCGCCTGTGTAAAAAGTCACTCTCCCTCTTTTTTAAGTATGTCARCAGCAAAAGCCATCCCAGAAATCCYATTTTCTCATTACTGGATGAGGATGGGCACCCCACAAGTAGGTACATAGACAAGGCAGAGRTGTTTAATGCTTTCCTCACTTGAACCTTCAAGACCAG